ACAATGAGAGTCTTTTACATATAAGAAGAGGAAAATATTACCTAGGACCTATTGCAATACTTATCTCCACAGTCTGGTTTGCTTTTTTTTTTATTATTTTATAACGTAAACAAACAATCCATCCTAGACATGAATGAAGTTTTCATCTACTGCATGACCCCGCCATCAAAGCTGGTAGAGAATGTTAAATTATCAGAGGAAGTAACTGTGTACCTGCTAGAGTAACAAGGAGACAGTATCCTTTGGACAGACCTGAAGAAAGATAACTGTTAGCCCACATGCCTTCGTAGCCTTGTAGTACTGCAAAACATTCTCGTAGTTTTCACTGCATTTGAACAAGCTGCTATTTGACTGCAGTGATAGTTTTAGGAATGGTCAAGTCCACAGAAGTAATAAAAGCTAGAAACATTTCAGCAGAGAGGCTGAAATCGTTACTTGCAGTCCTCAAAACACCTATGGATTTGAGTTTGCTTCCAATCACAAACAAAAAGGGCTGGGACTTCCAGTCTAATCAAAGAAGAAAAGACATAACAGTACTAGCTAAAGGAAGGAGAAAAGAAAAAATTTACTCCTTTCCAAAGACACTCTTGAAGACATCCCTTCTAGGATTTGTGCATTCGTTTATGCACACACAAATCCAGCTTGTGCCCTGCTACTAACCTCTGCTGGCATTTACAGAGTGCCAGTCTAGTCTGCTGTGCAATACATAGCAACCGCTGTATTCCTCATTGTGATTAACTCTTAGAGCAATTGACCTGAAGAAAACACATGGCACTGATAACTCATGCAGTTCATAGGTTTCTTCCTCTCCAGTCTCCAAGAATGAAGGGGTACCTTTTGCTTTTTTTTTTCTTTTTTGTTAGTTTTTAAATTAGAACAATTAAAATGTCTGAAGATACTGTGAATACAATTGGAGACTGTAGTGAGGTTATATGCTTACCAAAGAAAAAACTTAACATCAGCTTGACAATTAACAAATGCACTATTCGTTTCCAATTGAAATTAGATGACTACTCACAATAATTACCACTCTGATTCATAAACTGTCTCAAGAATAGATGCTAATAGTTCAAAAAACTTTTTACCCCAGCTAGCCCTTTCCACAATAAATTGTGTTTATCATGACCATAACTTAGAGAAGTTTGAATTGCAGTTTCAACACTGCAAAAAGCAAAATGTACAGGAGGATCTGAATAGTGATGTTGTTCAGAAGAAAACTAGCGCCTCTCCCATCCTCCACAGGCATCAAGTAATATAACTGCAAGAAACCTAGTCATTATGCAAATCAATTCAGTCCTGTGATTGGTTACTGCAGTGTGAAAGGCTTCATCACTATCTCTGAGTTCTGAAATTAACAGCTAGCATCTGCCCTGTCCAGTTTAGCCCATCAACTTTCTTTTTAACTTTGTTTTTAGAAGAATCTTTCAATAAACTTAAGATTATTGACACTAGCATTTATAAAGGAGTGAAATAATATCCTGTGAACAAGACTTTTAGCTAAGCTTTTAGCTAACACTTCTGGAAACAGTTAGCTGCAGGTTGACTTACTGCACAAATTAACTAGCCTGGTGGTACATTTATTACATAATAACTACTCTGTGATCTGCACTGTATATTTTTAAGCACAGAGCTCTACTGTACCTGATGTATCTAAATTATAAAATTTAGTTCCAGATGGTCATTTTAGTGCAAAGCCAATCCCAGTATGTGAAGTTTGTTCTTCCACTTCTCAAATAGTTTATCATATCCATTCTGAATTTGGAACTCATGCAGCAGTGTACCTTCTTAAATTTTAACAAGGGAATTATCATGGAAGATAGGGAACAGAGGGAGGTGGTATAAGACAACCATCATAGCTTCAACAAGGGCAAGTCATACCTGATCACCTTAGTGGAGTTCTGTATAAGCATAACAGAACTTCAGTAAGGCTTTTAATGTGGTCCTACACAGCATCTTTCTCTCCAGTTTAGGAAGATATGAGTTTGACAGATGGAGGGTTTGATGGATGAAGAACCAGTTGCAAGATTGTACCCAGAGTGGTGGTCAGTGGTTCACTGTCTGAATGGAGATCAGTGATAAGTGGGGTCAGCCAGGGGTCAGTACTGGGATCAGTACATTTTACCAACTTCAACAATGACACTGACAGCAGGATCATTGGTGCAGATGGCACCAAGCTGTGTGGTGCAGTCAACAAGCCTGAGGGACAGGATGCCATCCAGAGAGATCTAGACAGGCTGAGCAATGGGCCCAGGTGAACCTTGTGAGATTCAGTAACTCCAAGTACAAGGTTCGCACTTGGATCGCGGCAATCCCAGCTATCAATTCAAGCTGGGAGATGTAAGGATAGAGCACAGCTCTGCCAAAACAGACTTGAGGGTACTGGTGGATGGATGGGAAGTTGGACATGAGTCAGCAATATGCCTTTGCAGCCCAGAAAACCAAATGCATGAAAAGAAGTATGACCAGCTGAATGAGAGAGGTGATCCTGCCCCTCTTCTCGGCTTTAGTTGGACTTCAGCTCTGTCCAGGTGAGGAGCCCTCAGTACATTAGAAACATAGCACTGGTGGAGGGAGTCCAGAGGAGGACCATGAAAATAATCCAAGGGATGGAACAACTCTTCCATGAGGCTAGGCTGAAGGAGCTAGGGCTGTTCAGCCTGGAGATAAGAAAGCTCCAGGGAGAGCTGAGAACAGCCTTTCAGTAGTCAAACGCGGGGGGGGGGGGGGGGGGGGGGGAGATGGGGAAGTAGGGCTGCAAGAAAGGAGAGACCCTTTAGCAGGGTCTGCTGTGACAGAAAAAGAGGAAACGGTTTCAAACTAAGGAAAGATCTAGATTGGACATAAGGAAGAAGGTGGGCTGTTTTTTGTTCATTTTTATACATGCAATAAACACAGTGATGCACAGGTTGCCCAGAGAGACAGTGGATGCTCTGCCCCCAGAGACATTCAAGATCAGCCAGGACTGGGCTTTGAGCAACCTGACCTAGCTGTAGATATATTCAGTTTTCAAGGTTGGAAAGTCAAGCACCACTTTTGCTTGGGCACCAAAAGCAGATAAGTTTAATATCATAAGCTACTTTGGTCAGTAAAAACTGTTATTATTATGAAAAGCTTTTCCACAGAACAACAAAAAAACAATAACAAGAAGTGGTTCGGAGGTTTTTTTTTTAATGACTTCAGGAAGTCCAGAATGTGCATTTTCATACACGATTGTAACAGACGTTAAAGAAAAAGTTAATCTGATTATCAGCCTTTATGGTTTCATAACTCATTCCTAATTCAGCCTAACTCAGGTAGTCAAATACATCCAGAATTTGAAGGATTCAAAATGTACTGTAACAGGAATCCAAGTTCAGCTACATAATCTTTTGCAGCTTCATTTTTAGAGAATTCTGAGAAAGAATGCATTTGAAATGCCCTTGTACATAGGTTGCAATAACTTTGACATCGAAAATCAGACAATCTCCCAAAAACCATACTACAGAAATACTAAACAAAAAACAGAACAAAAAAAACAGAACAGCAAACAGAACACCTAGACACACAGGGAGATAAGAACTTAGCTTGTGCCCTCCTTAGAAATCAACTGAACATTGCCTGCTTCCTTAGATAGCTGGAGATACTTACAGTTGCCAAGTTTTGAATATAATTGAATAAGTAAATAAAAACAGTGAGCAAATAAGGCTAGTACTGGAGAAAATACTTCGTTCATTTACTCTAACTATGCCCCTTAAATTAAAAAAAAAAAAAAGTTCAGTTTCAGCTGTCCTAAAGAACCATAATTTGTGTTAAAACGAAGTCATAGAAATAAGAGGTGCCACATAAGAAAATCTTCTTTATTATAAAGATTACCTGGGAAGCGGATAGAGTAGGCATATTGTAATTTAGCAGACTGAGTGCTTAGGTTATTCTGATTTTAACAGAAAAGAAACATGAAAACTTGTACAATTTAATATTGTTTTAATACATTATTTACTGAAACAATAACTACCACCTGCTAAGACTAAGATAACTTATTTAGCAAGACTAGGTGGACCAGAGGCAAAGACAAAAGCATATGCTAATGTTCAAGAAAATGATGCCAAATGCAGAGTTCTCCCTTCGAGAACAGTCTTAGCTTATAGCCCTTTCAAAGGTAACTATTGCAGTTTGGGGAAAAAAAAAACAAACAACAAAACAACTGCAGTTCCACAATAACACTTTTCCAAATAATAAATTGGTAATTAGAATGGGATCTCAAGAATATTTAGTAACCAGAAACTCTGTAATACACTCCTTTAAATTAAGAAGAGCTACTTTAACATTAAAAATCTAGTTCTGTGACTGTCTTAATACAAACTGTGCCTTGCAAAGAACAAGTATGCAACTACACATTTACTAATTAAGTATTTATAGTAAGAAAAAATGTGTCATCACAAAAGCAGTCCAAATTTTGTGAAGACATAATTCTTTATCACTCTAACTAGAAACCAGAATCAAGGAGACGCAAGAGTGTTAAGCTTTCTTTTTCTAACTGAAAAACAAACACAGTCCATTCAAATATAATGATGTACAGACTCCAAAATATTAGTTAGCTCAGATGAAGATGCAACTGTTATGGAAGAAAAGAGAGCAAACACCCTGGGAAAACAAACAAAAACAAAAAAACAAAAAAACAACAAAACAACCACCATCAAACAACAAGAAACACTTAAAATCATCCTCTTTCACCTCTGCCTCATTAGTATGTATTTGAGGTTCTTTCCTCCAGCAACAGGAGCCAAGATCCCAAGTAAGTGGCACACTTTGTTCTATGTTCTTTCAGAATATAGAATTCTTTTCCTTGAATCCTCTAAAGAGAGTTAAAACTTCTCATCTTGAATCTTTTGACTATATGAGAAAATTTACAGCTGAACTCATATCACTAAGTGCTATCAGTTTATGAAATACCTAATAACCTGTAAACAAAAATTGGAAGATAATGAACAGTCAGATCAAGCAGATTGTTTATGTGCACTTACTCCCAGAATTCCATCACCGGAGACGTAGCATTTTGCAAAGAGATTTGACTGCAGTTGCTCATATTAAGTTTCTGAAATTCCACACAGTTTTCTATAAAAACAACAACAAAGTTGTTATATTGACATGTACATACATTTCTTCTGGTCCAAATTCTAGTTTGTGCATTTGTAAAGCCACTTACTATATCATCCTCTACATGGTTAAAAGGATTTCTAGATATTCTAAAATCCTCCAGCTGCTACTTCTGTAATAGTATTTTGATCACAAGATCAGAGGCTAGAAAAATATCCATGTAGTACTCTACACACTCCTACACTTTCTAAATGCACTTTGGCAATGACAAGGGCCAACTAAACATCTGAGGCTAAACGAAGAAGCTTTGAGAAATTGAGGCAATCATTCAGGAACTACAACATAATACTTCTTCAAGTGGTTGTTCAATGGCCAATGGCAACAATTGGCTGATGAAACAACCAACAAGTCTCCACTTTGTTTAATAGAGCAAGTGGAAAGTCACTCTTTAACTTGTATCAAATAAAGAAGAAGAGCTCTTCTGTTGAATTCACTTACTGTATTCTGAGAGAATGGGTATGATTGAAAATGAGAGTCCTGGGAATTAGCCAGAATATTTTACAGAAATGACAAAGGCAAAAGCTTTCTTTTCCCATCTGACATTATATTTCACAGGAACAAATGCTTATACAATGACCTAAATCAGAAAGGTATGATTAAGTCTTCACTGCACGACCTGTGCAACATGGTCTAGAGAACCTGCTTCAGCAGGGAGGGTGGATTAGATGATCTCTAGAGATCCCTTCCAACCCTTAAAATTCTGTGATTCTGTGATTTCATTTCATCACAGTTTGACATGATCAGCCCATTCCCACAGACTTTTCTACCACAATAGTTGTGTTCTCAACACTAATTCATTTTATTACTTGGAAGTCATTATTTGTACAGCAAATATTCCCACCAAGGTCATACCTGTATTCCATTCATGCCCACACGTAGCCCAGGGAAGTTCTGTAGTAAAGCAGTTAAACAGATAGAAGATAGCCCATGCTAAAATAATGATGTAATATACATTTAGATGTGCCTCTATAACTTGGGTAGCATATCCAATGCCTGGAGAGGAGGAAGAGAGAACAAAGAACTTTCACTTTTCAGATAATTTAAGAACAAATGCTTAATACTATAAGTACATCCCAACTTTTGTAAGATTTTTTCCTTCATTTAAAACTTAATGCAATAGAACACAGAAAAGGTTGTTACCTTCAAACAAAGGGCAAACTTTCCTCCAGCACGTAATGCCTCCTTCACTAGTAAACTGTCCCAAGGCTGTCTCCAGGAAAAAAACTGGTATCCCACAGCAAATAAAGAAAACCACATATGGGATGAGGAAAGCACCTATGAGTAAACATTGTGGTGGTATTGGTTACAACGAACACAGTTCCTTGACAGCTTAGCAAAAAATTTATTTTCATTCCTTAGCTAATTCTTGCAGGTGCAGTGCTTAAAGTGCAAAAAGTGTTTGCTTCTGGCACCAAATATTAAAAGTTAACTCTTAAGCCATTATTGTGGACTGAAAACAAAGAACCAATACAAAAACCACCCCATCCCCAGTCAAAACACAAAGCATACTTAAGTTTTTCAGAATAGGCTAAATTCTGCTGAACATTATCTCATGCACAGGAAAGATCACATTCTTGCTTAGCCACACCATTCTGATCTGATTATCATCAAATCATTCTACCCTCTCTTCTCTTACTTTCTTTTCTCAGGAGAAAAGCAGGGATGAAGAAGCATTATGGAAATGAAATCCAAGTACTGTGATGTTATTTAGATAAGACCAATGACGAGGATCGTAAGAAGGGAATGACAAAATACACCTTAGGGCTTTTTACACAGAGAAAGAAAACAGGACTTGGCATTGCTATCTAGAAATTGTAAGAAATTTACAAAGCATCAGCTTTTTTTCTTACATGCTGACAGTAAACTCCAGCAAAGATAGTGAGCAGTACAACTTGAAGCCTTCAACAAAATACCATTCTTCTCTTATTAACACAGAGCAGAAATTCTGTATTATTTCATGATTAACCATGTTATTAGGTATGGCAGACAGAGAACATGACTGAAGTATGAACAGAGAAGCGACAGAAGATACCTGTTAGGCACATTGTCACTTGCTAATACAGTAGATTTTAAGTATTCGATTTAGAACTGAACCTAAATAAGAAGGAATGAAATACAGCCTTTTCACTACACAGAGACCCTGTTAACATACAAGGCCAAAATATTTTTTTTCCTTCATTCCCCTGGTACTCAGATTTCTTAATAAACCAAAGGATGAGATAGAAAGCAACTAACTACACTGATTTAGGGGGAAACAAGGAAGGAAGAATACAAATACTAGGAGGAAACAATAACTATTTGGGCCATTTTTACTGATACCAGTAAACAAAGTTCCACTGGTTTAATCAGACAAACACAGTGAAGTACTGCACAAAAGTTTTGATAGATGTAGTAACTGCATACATCAATCAGTTCTTCAGAGCACTAACATTCCTACTTCAACAGGAGTCCTAAAGATTGATCTGATCATTAATGAACAACACTTTATGCAAATGGCCTGAAAGACAACATCTTTCCAGGCCATGATTTAAGAACTGCTGTCCAGCATGAAAACAAGTTTAGCTCACTCACATGGACAAGCACAGTGAGTTTAACATAGCAACTTAATGAAACTTATTATAATGGCTTAAATATATATTTTTTAATTCCTCTACAACAGATACCCATCAGGAAACAACAGAGTATACCAAGTTTGCCTGCTTGCAAACCAATTAGTTTCCATGAAATATCTAATTCAAGAAACATAAGTGAACTATTTTTCCAAAAAAGAAAAAAAAAAAAAAAAAAAAGAATAGCAATTGTCCATAAGAGCAAATCAGAAATACAGAAGCTTATGCCTACATTATCTGTTGGTAGTGCCAGAGAGAGCTTAGACCTGAAGTACCCATCCTGCTTCTGAATTTGTTCTGTACCTAGCAGGCATTCTATTTAGTAACTAGCTCATATACCTCTTCACTATGATTACACATTACACATGAAGTATTTCCCAGTATTTACATTCAGTGCAACAAACAAGACCCAAGTCTAATTCTAGTTCAGCAGTCTAGAGAGTTACAGAAACAGAGGTGTTAGCCAAAAGTCGTAGACTGAGACCTCACCAAAGAAAACTGAAGTTAATGGCAAACTTCCCATGGTACCAGGACATGGCCAATCAAACTACATGCATTCATTCTATTCTTAAAGACTGCTGTAGTGATTAATGACGATACTTAAGTAAGCCAGCAACTGTTCAGCAAGTCATCCAACAGACTGATTAGAGACTAAAAGTACAGTAGCATGCTAAAATGAGTGAATTCTTGTCATCTTAGTTTTGCCACAGTACAAATGTGTTAAAGAGGAGCTGCAAACTAGTAACACACCTACCACAAGAGTAGTCTTTAGAAACAGCAGACAAAATGGCCAAAACCACCCCTGAGTTCACCTAGTTTTGTGCAAACGAGGGAAAGAAATCTGGCATAGCACTGTTAGCAAACAAACCTGTTAAGAACAGATCTTTGCATATATCAGTCACTGAGCATATCACTGTTCTTGAAGGATATACGTTTACACTAGGGCTGCCGATTCAGACATTAAGTGGGAGAATGTTGAATCTAGCTCACAGGATTCTAAACTTAAGGTTTTGTCTTTTCTTCCTTCATTTCTGTGTGAGACATGGCTGATGTGCTTACTCTTAATTGTCATGTATCTTACCTAGATGATACCTGACTATAAGTAATACATATCATACAATACATTATACTTCTGTGATTTGAGAGAGAAAAGAATAGACTTCTACCATCTTATTTTAAGGTATACAGACCCTGCTCTCTTGGCTTAGTAACAGTCAGCTTTGTATCTTACCCTCCCTTACTGTACTGATTGGGGAAGTAATGATTAAAAAAAAAAAAAAAGTGTCTTTGACTTAAAGGGCTTTTTTTTTTTGTCATAAAAAAGGTAGCATTTTCAGAAACAATATTTCCTCCCTAAAGTATGCTATTCAGAAAAATAAACTGCTACTTTATTCTCTGTCAGACAAACTTTGTTGAGTAGGCTCGATTCTGTATGCACAAGAAAATGTTCTATTCTAACTGGTTTCTTCTACCTTAAAAAACAACAACAACAATAATATATAAATATATTAATAATGAAAAAAAAAACAAGCAACCCCATAACCAAAGAAAAACCTCGAGAAATTAAACCACGTAGTATTTGGGGAGAAGAAGGTAAAGGAAACATCACATTTTTTAATTCATTCTCAGGTGCTTAATACTTCCCTACCTACACACACAAACAAGTCCTGAACCCCTCTTACTAGCGCAAGAAATCACTGTGAAACACCCCTAAGTGTTTATTTCCCAGATGTTTACAGTGAGCTGCAAATCAACACATGACGCCATCTTACCTCCTCCATTCTTGTAGCAAAGATATGGGAATCTCCATACATTTCCCAACCCAATAATCTCCCCTGCCACAGAAAGCACAAATTCAACCTTATTGTTCCAGTGACCTCTTTCATGAACTTTCTTATCATTGCTGTGGACGAGGTTGGTACTTGAAGCTTCTGGATCCAAAACATCTTCTGGCTTGCCGTTAATTATAGGAATAGTCTTTTCAGCTGTCATGGCTGTTCAGCCTGAAGAAAGCAAAAGACAAATATGCAGATATCACTTGTTAATTACAACACTCAAGGACTAAGAAACTCCTTAGCATATCATTAGCTTCAAATTATGTGTTACCTACATAAATTTACAGGTGAAAGGGAACAGGGCAATTCCATAAGGCCAAAAAAGTTGTAAAAGATGACAAACTTTTTTAATAAAAAAGATTTTTTTAAAAAAAGGAAGAAAATTTCATACATGAAAGTAGAAAGGTTTTCAAGTTGGGACAGTCATAGTAGAATGTTATTCTAATGGCTGGGTAGTAAAACCTTTCAAAAATCCTTCACCAAGCAGGTACACAAGTTTGACTAACCTCACAGAGGACAGGGATCTCCTGCACGTTCCAGGCATAAGACCAAGAAGAAAGGAAGAAAGGGATGTGCTGAAGGGGCCTGATCGGTTCTGGCCTGCCTGGAGAAGCAGGGAATCTCCCAGACTACTCACCCAGGGTTCTGCTTATGTCTGCGCGGTTGGGAGAGGGACTGGCTCTCTAGCCGACACTCGGCTCCGAGCGCACCTCCGCGTGCTGCCGTTCTCCTCTCTGTTGCACAGGAGGCGAGGGGCACAGCAGCTGAGGGCAGCCGGAGGCAGAGGCGGGGACGGCGGGGATAGCGCGGGCAGCGCGAGGAGATCGGGGAGCCGGGAAGCCTCGTCCTGCGCTGCGGCTGCCGCCCGGCCGGCCGGCGGCGATAGGATGCGCCCCGAGCCTCGGAGCCGCAATTTGCAAACGCTCAGCCTTCCCCCGAGCGACGGTATAACACCCGCCTCTCCCCTCCGCCCACTTCAGGCTGTCCCAGTAGCTCCCCTCTTCTCCTCCTCTTCTTCCTCCCCCTCCTCCCGGCATCGTCGCCCGAGCATCCCCAGCTACTCGCTCCCCCGCCCGCCGGTGAGACAGCCGGGGCCGAGCACCGGGCGGCAGCGAACCCCGCACTCCCTGCATGCGGCTCGCGGAGGACCCGCGGCTCCCGCACACCTGCAGCGCTGCAGTGCTGCTTGCTCAGGCGGCAGCCCGGAGCCTGGTTTGCTGCCTTCTCTTCCTTCTTTTTCCTTTTTTTTTTTTTTTTTTTTTCCTCTCCTCCTCCATTCCTTCAAGCTCAGGTGTGGCACATCAGAAAGGAGGCCAGCTTAAAGCAGATAACATTAACTGCAGCTGGGGGAGAGGGAGCAGGCAGGGTACAGGCAATAAGAACAGGGTAAAGAAATGTTGGGGGAACATTTGGCAGGTGTGGACACGCTATGGGCGCTTTCTAGTCAAGCTGGAAAATGTAGAAGCAACCCACATAGGCATTTCTAACCAACATTTTGCTTAAAATTTGATTTGAATAAGTGTAAAATGGAAGAAAGAATAGAAAAATAAGAAAATACAAACCATTCTGTTTCAGATTGAATGAAATATTTCGAAATCATCTTTTTCTCCCCCCATTCTAATCATCTCCACACACATACGTAGTCCTGTGTTTTGTTCAGCCTATTCCATTATTCATCTCCACAGCTGGAAAACGGCTCACATTTTCATTCTAAATCTTCCCTCAGATCCATGTGCTCTGTGGCAGCTGTGATCATCAATATTTCGTTCTGCAGCCCCTGGAGATGCATTTGGGACCACTATCTCTTAAAACCTGGATTAATTTAAGCACTCTGGAGGATGCTGTCCTGGAGACAGCAAGCTCTTCCTTGTGAGCTCTCCCCATTACCTTATAACTCCATGGTTTATCACACTGTCAGGAAAACTGTCATCCAGTGCTTACTGAACACCTATTGAAAAATGCCCATGGACAGATTTTATATTAACTTTTATATTAACCTGACTTTAGAAATGAGTCTGATTATACCCTACTTGTAGCCTAAGTACATCTACATATTCAAATTTCTGCTATGGCTGAAGTTTTATTTTGGCTTTTGAACTATGCGTGCCTCAAGACTGGGTGTTGGGGCCTCAGTCTACGCTCTGTCAAATGTACTTAACTGTATTCTCTGCCACCTTCATACGCACATCTGACAGGCATAGGATAAGGTCCTTTCTTTGCTAATTGATACCCATATGGAGAGTGCTGGTCTCTACTATACTATGAAATGAAAAACAGCCAATGGTAGAACTATGGTAAAACATTATGCTAACATGGAAGAATTAATATCTATCTATCTATCTATATATATGTACATGGGTTTGCTTTATCAAAAGGATGGGGAAGGGAGGATTTTTTTATGTGTATATGTTTTCGCTTTCGTTTTTCAGTGGTGTGGGAGTAGGGAGAGGTAAGGTTAGGAGGCATCAGGGTTTTGTTTGTTTGTTACTTTGTTTTTGGTTTTAACGCAGCTGGTATCTACTAAGGTAGAACAGATGCATATTTTTCCCAATTTTGCTTTGTACAAATCAAACTCAGTTTTTAGATTCTCCCTTACCCCACCTTTCATCTACATTCCAACAGGGATCAAAACAGGCACTGTTTTTTCTGTATTCCAGCCAGGCTGAGCAGACTCAACAGGACACAAACATCAAAGGTGATACTGAATTCTCATCTCGTTACTAAAAATAGCTCTAAAAATGGATGGAAGCTAAGGGGCAGTAAATGTGTGACTAATGATACAATAACATGGAGGGAACAGTCTTCTATGTTCATCTAGGATAAATTTTACCTCACCAACAGGGAAGTTTACACTTCTATATAGTGCGCCCAATACATTGTCCAGTGCTAAATGTATCAGAACAGTGTCACCCTGTTGATACTCTGCCTAGTGTTCTTTGTAGCAAGTCATACCATGAGTAGCTTTCTGATGCAAATAGACTAACACAAGACTGAAGGGGACTGCTCCAAAGAACAGTCTATAAGATGACTGGCAGATGCAAAAGGTATTTAATCACTGCTGATTTGCTTAGTATTTGAAATCAGAAATATGCAAAGACAAATATTTCATTCACTATGTACTCTTGCACTGATTCCCATTTGATCTGACAACTGAAGAGCTTACAACATAATTGCTAGCTGATGATCCTTGTGAATACTGAAATCCAACACAGTTTGCAACATAAAGCTTCCAAAATTTTATAAAAGGTTGATTATCCCTTTTCTTTTTTCAATCCAAGGAAGCCTCCTCTATTGCAAGGAAAACAGTTCTCTCGATTACATCTCAGTTGGTGCACTAACCTCGTGTACTGCGTGCTCCTCATCATGAATTCACGTCTGCTTCTGTCAGTCTGCTGGGAGATCTGCACATGGCATGAAACCAGAGAAGAACACAGTGAATGGGATGGGAGCAAGTCTTGTGAAATGGTTGAACTGTAAGACAAAAAACATAGTTACCAACATCAGCAGGCCGTTCCTAGTAAAACCAGTATCTAATACTAAAACATTCATTAATTATCTAAAGCGTACTTCATGTTCTATAGAGGGGCTAGCCACATCACAAATCTCAAGTAATCTAGTTATGTCCAAGAAGATTTTTTCTGCGCTGTCTGCTCCATTCCTGATCTGCACAAGCATTTGGAGTTCTTACCTCCAACCCATTCACCGTAAGTAAATTTCCTGGCCATTCCTCCTGAGTTCCACACTAAAATGATGTTACCTAGCAAAATAATTCATTTGCCTTATTCAGATTTTATCTCCAAACCCCTAAGGAAACCATTAAAGCTCTATGTAGGAAGTAGACTGTGAGCAGAAGACAAATGTTTCTGCCAGTTAAAGAAAGGTGTGTGAAGTTCCAAATGTTCTAAAACTAATCATATTTAGATTCATAAACTAAAATTAATAAAGACAAGAAATTAACATGTGGAGACCATGCTGATAAAAGAACCTCCAAGAAAAAGCCATGTTTCCACAGGATATGTCAGGGTGCTAAAATGCACGGCAGTAGCATTGCCCAGACGTAACAAGGAATACATGCTGCACCTTCCCTGGCTGCAGGCAGAACACTTTCAGGCTATTAATTCATACTCTTCTGGGACATCTGATCAGTTCATATCTTCAAGGCACAAACACCTAGTGTGAAGACATACCAATACAAGGAAGGTTAACTCTCTTCCCTTTTTTCTGTCCTACCTCTACAAAATTCAGAAGGCACACGAAGAAAACTGCTTGAGACATTTTTACATTTTGACTCCCTAATGCTCTGGGCTCTTCTGGGAATTCAGGATGCTCTGCTCATCCTATGCTTTTTGATCCTTATTAGGATGCCTGAGTTTCTGTAGCAATTGATTCAGATAAGATGAAGTTTCTACTACACCACAAAAATCTTTTGGCTCATGTAGATGCTTCTATTTTTGTACTTTTTTCCTAAATAAAATAAATAAAAAAAGGTTGTAAGTAGCTATACAGAAAATAATTTTAATTAATATTAAAGCTACTGTGAACATATCTGATTTTGTAATAGCAAGACCAATGCAACTTTCAAGGGTTTAACGTGAGCAAAAAACACATTATATAGATCTGGAAATGAAAAGCAGGCTGTGTTCCATTTCTACTCCCTATTAAACCACAGTGCCTGTGTTGATTTCTTGTTCTTTCAGTAACCCTATGTCAATGCAATTGAAGTGGGGTATGGAGGGAAACAATCATATCCAGATTTAAGTTTTAGTTTAGATTTGATGTAAGCAAAATCTGCTCAAGTCTTATGTAAGGATTTCACAAAGTTAGGCCCTTCATGTGTAAATAGCTACACAAAAGAGAAGAAATACAATAAGAACGTCATTAGTGATACAGATCTGACACAACATTTTGGATCAAAAGACTGAGATCATAAAGCAGTTTGTGAACTAAGACATCTTTAGCTAGGCTTTTGCAGAACAGACTTAAGTCTAACAGCAGCAAGCTCTCTGAATCTTGTCTGATCAGTCTCTGAAATAGAAAAAAAAAAAACCTGTCTTGAAGTTAAACAACTGATTGCTGGGCTCCTATTTAGAGAGGCTTAACAGCTATCATCGTAGATCTCTCTCTCAAATTTATCCCCCATGACTGACAACGGTTTAG